GGGGAAAGAGGCATAAACACAGCAGAGGTGAGAGAACAAGGGCTCTCCTGGGTGGGGAGGGGGTGGTCTCCTGGAACTGTCTCAGCTATCCCTATAGAGTCTGAGTCTCTCTTCTTCCTAGGCTGCTCGATTAGTTTGACATTTCATGGAAATTTTATCCTATTTGATCTTTTTAAGTAATTTGGTTAATTCAAGTATAAAAAAGTCATGAGTATGCATGAGAACATTTCCTGCGATCATTATATGTATAATATATACATGCAAAAAATAATTAGAAAGTATGTAAATATCCAGAAATGGCAAAGTTATTAAGATGATTATGGTATATCAACTCAATTGAACATTATGCAGCCATTAAAAAGGATAATTATGAAGGTGGTTTAGAGATGTGAAAAATGTGTGTGATATGATGGGAAGACAGGAAATAAATAGCACAAACACAGTGATTACAGCTCTAAAAAACATGTTGGCCTGTGGACAAATGCTGGAAGGATTTATGTCATTAAAAGCTGTAGTAATTAAGATGCTAAGATTGTGGGTGATTTTTTTTCTTTTTTCCAAGTTTTTTTAACATTATTTTTTTATACTCAAAGTAGGCATCCTTTGGGACAACTGCCCAGTCGATACCCCTCTTGTCTGTACACTGTATCCCCAATCAAAAGGATAAAGCTCCAACAGCCCCACAGGCTGTGTGCGGCCCTTGGCCTGGTCACCTAGACACCTGATCCAAGCTGGACCCTCAAATACTTGCTACTGAGTCTTTGAAATTGGACTACAGAAATGCTAATGTCTCTGGGGTAGTCTTTTTTTGAAAGATAAAGTTCTTATAAAATTCACCATTGTAAAGTGTGCAATTCAGTGGTTTTTAGCATATTCACACATTATACAATCGCCGCCACTATCTAATTCCCAAACATTTTCTCACCAGCCCCTTGAGCTGGTTAGTATTCATTCCCCTTTCTCCCTTCCCCCACCCCACCCAGTTGGGAGACAGAAAGTTCCCCTACTTTCTGTCTCCATGGATTTGCCTGTTCTGAACATTTCATATAAATGGAATCATACAATATGTGGCCTTTTGTTGCTCAGACTGACCTCGAACTCCTGGGTTGAGGTGATCCTCTCACCTCAGCCCCCTAAGTATCTGGGATGATTACAAACTTGCACCACCATACCTGGTCTAGCTTCATATATTTTCATACGTTGGGGCTGACTCTCTTTTTATTTATTTATTTATTTATTTGTCTGTTTGTTTATTTATTTATTTTTATTTTAAAGATGTGGGATACAATTCATGATTAGGGATACCAGTGGTCATTGTACAGGTAAAGTTTGGGCCTCCCTTTGGTCCTCACTTTGCCCGGTTTGAGATCAGGTACCCTTATTGATGTTGTGTCCCCCTCTGGCAGTATCTCACTACTGCCAATCCCTTTCTTATAGTATTATGGTAAATGTTCAGGGTCCACTTATGAGTGAGAACATGTGGTACTCAGTTCTTTGTTTCTGTGATAGATCACTGGGTATGATGGACTCTAAATGCATCTAGGTTGCTGTGAAATCCATATGTTTGTCCTTCTTTACGACTATGTATTATTCCATCGTGTATATGCAACACAAGTTCTTTATCCAGTCCAGTTTCAATGGGCAGCGCGGTTGGTTCCATGTTTTTGCTATTGTGAACAGTGTTGAAACAAACATGCATGTGCAGGTATCTTTTTGGTAGAATGACTTGAGTTGGCTCCCTTTCAATATTTTCCCCTCACATTATAAAATCACTGCTACCACTTCCCTGGAATTAAACTGAGGAACAAATGGATGATTTCCACATGGCCTCTAAGGAGGAAAGTCTTTCTAGAAATCTAACTCAGGACAGTAGAAAAAGCAAAAGCTTTGTAGTCACAAGACAAGGGTCAAACCAAGGCTTTGCCTCTCCCTAACAGGGCAACTTTGATAAGTCACCTGATCTCACCAAGTCTCAGCCTCATCTGTAAATCAGAGACTACAACTACCTGTTGCGGATTAAATGCAGTGAAGTGTTTGCCATGTGGGAGGGATTTGGTATTTGTTAGGTTCCTGTCTCTTATTTTTCTCAGCATTTCATTTAGCTCCAAAACAGACTCACCTCTCAGTAATACAGAAATCCTCATTTTAGCAGGGACAGAATCCTGAGGTGGAAAGAACTTGGGCTTTGGAGTGAGACAGGCCAGGTCCAAAGAGTCCTCACACAACCCATCTCAGAGCAATCTAGGAACCACCTCTGTCATTTACTAGCTGCGAACTTCTGGGAAAGTCCCTGTATTTCTCTGTGCTTCCTTCTCCAACTTTATAAAATGGTGTCAGGAGCGGATGTGACGTGGGAAGCAGACGAGCACTGTCACTGTAGCAGGCCTTGAGTAAAGGCCCCAAACAAAGGCAAGGTCTCGTTTAATGGCCCCAAGCTCATAGGTAAGGTCTCACTTTGAAGCTCTGCATCTTAGCCAAAGGTAGGCTGTGAGGGATGCAGCCTGCACAAAAAACAGTGTCTCAGATGTCCACACATCCGGGAGCACATAGTACAGATAGTCTTAGCTACAAGATAACTGCAGAACAGCTCGCCTTTTAGGTAGCAACAAAATTCCTTTATGGCTCCCTCACAAACCCGGAATCCCTTCCAACTTCCCTTGTGTTTGATTATAAAATAAACATGCTGAGCTAGTTCGGGGTCACTTCTCCTCCATCAGAGGAAAGTGTCCCACCTGGCCCCAGCTTTTCTTTATGTCTTTGTGTCTGTGTCTTTCTTTTTTTTTTTTTTGAGTTGGAGTCTCACTCTGTCGCCCAGACTGGAGTGCAGTGGCCGCTCCCGGCCACCGCAGCCTCGACCTGCTGGGCTCCGCGATCCTTCCACCTCAGCCTTCCGAGTAGCCAGAATTACAGGCATGCGCTACCACGCCCGGCTGATTTTTTGATTTATTTTAGAGATGAGGTCTCGCTGCCCGGGAGGGTCTCGAACCCACGGACTCAGGCAATCCACTCACCTCAGCCTCCCAAAGGCGCGGGATTACAGGCTGAGCCACCGAGCCCAGCGTCTGTGTCTTTCTTAATCTCTCACTACTCTCTCTCGGGACCCTCAAGGCAGCCGTGTGGGCCGTGGCAAAATGGAAATAATAGTTCTTGCCATACAAGATTATTGTGAGGATTAAATGAGAGTGCATTTAAGCACCAAGGACAGGAGAGGGTATTTAGTATGCGCTAACTAAAGCGTTGTTGTTGTCAATGCATATAAGAATGGAGAGGGCTCAAGCAACATCCCACAGGCATGTCTCCTCAGTTCATGACCACTGTGTGACTAAGGAAGGGGAGGGTCACCCTCCAGTGCCCACAGATCACCAGGTGCCCTGCTCATTTCAAAAAGAAAGCCAGCCGGGCTCGGTGGCTCAGCCTGTAATCCCAGCGCTTTGGGAGGCTGAGGTGAGTGGATTGCCTGAGACAGCGGGTTCAAGACTCGCCTGGGCAACTTGGCAAGACCTCATCTCTACCATAAATAAAAAAAAATCAGCCAGGTGTGGTAGTGCATGCCTGTAGTTCCGGCTACTCGGAAGGCTGAGGCGGAAGGATCGCCGGAGCCCAGCAGGTCGAGGCTGCGGTGGCCGGGAGCGGCCACTGCACTCTGGGTGACAGAGTGAGACTCCTGCCCTGCGAGCCCATCTGCCCTGAGGCTACCGTCCACCATCTGTTCTCAGCAGGCTCTTTGATGCTCGGCCTTCATCCTTTGTACCTGGAGGAGGCTTCTCTCTCTCAAAAGAGCACAGCAGGCTCCCGGTTGGGATTTCTTTTGGACACAATTCAATTTGTAGTCAGGACCTGCAAACTCCCTCCAGTCTCTCGCCTCCTGAAGGGTGAGATTGAAATGGCTATGGGCTTGGAAGACACTGACTCAACCACCTTCAATGCCCACATCACCACCACCCACCGTCTCTATTTCCTCCCAGCCCTGGGCCAGGCCTCCTTCTGTTTTTAAAGTATTTTCCAAAACTAGTCTTGCAATCTAAAAGTCTGTGAGCCATCAATCTACAGAGTAAGAGACATGAAACAGGAAGAGACAGAAAATAGGGCTGCAGAAGGGAGCAGTGGCCAGTGGCTCTATGTGCTATGCAAAAGCATTTGGCTCTATGTGCTATGCAAAAGCCCTGTGGTTGGATGGAAAACTTGGGAAATTCACTCAGCAGGTGTTCAGAGAATGGATGGGAGGAAGCAAGCCTAGAAACAAAGAGGTTACTGCAGTGGACCTGGTGAGAAGTGAAAGGCTTATAGGGGCAGTGGGGACAGAAAGCAAGAGTGGATTCAGAAGTCCTTTTAAAGTAGAAATCAATAAAACTTGGATGCTAAAATGAAGGGCAGGACAGAGGCTACCAAACCATGCTTTTGAGCTTGGGAAAATGAATGGGTCAACTTTTTTTTTTTCCTGGTCTCAACTGAAATGTTATGTCCTCTGAGAGTACTTTTCTAACTAATCAAACCACAATGGGAAGCCCATTCCTGCTCTGCTATTTTATTCCACTCCATTCTTTTTTCTTTGTAACACATATCACAGTTTGAAGTTATTTTATTGTCGGTCGCCTTCATTCGACTGTCAACTCCACGAAGGCAGGGACAAGGCCCCCTTCTGCTCAAGCCTAGTACAAAGCCTAGCACATCTAAGTGGTTAAAAAATATTCTCGAGTGAACGAATGAATGAGGACCAAAGAAGGAGGGACAGGCAGGGGAACAAGATGCGTGGGAGAGACGGGTTTTCAACACCCATGAGGAGCTCTCTAGCAGGCAGCAGGAAGCCCGGAGGGCAGGGGCTCTGGAGTCATCGGTGCAAGACCTTGGCAATGACTGGAGAGCCTAGACAGGGGTCAAATAAAGCTACTTTGCCAGAAGTGATCACGAACGCACAAGATTCCTCGACTCCACCAAGACACACTGAATCAGAATCTCCGGGATTCAGGTACTCAGAGCCGGAGAACCCGCACGTGTCACACATGGACTCGGATGTACCTGGAGGTTGGAGGCGCTCGGATCTAGAGAAGAAGAGGCGGTTGTTCGGTGTGAAGGAAAGGAGGGGGGTTGGGACGGTGACTTTAGACGGCCCGGTGTCAGGGCGGGAGACACAGGCGGCAGCTGAGCCAGAAGTTGGCACCCGAGGCCACTCCACCGGGCCAGGACCTTTGGCTGCACCTGGCCTCGGGCCGCAGGACGGAGCCGCCCC